TTCAGAGACCCAACCTTCAACGTCCTGGACATGCAATCCACCATGCGCAACGTCTTCTTGGACGAAGAATCGCGCAAGGGATGGAAGGGACGCATAGCTGGTCGAGGATTTGCCATGGCAACGACCGCGTCTGACATCATCTGCCACAGCTGCTACGAGCCGGGGCACATCAGGAGGAACTGCCCCAAGATCAAGAACAGGGCGAAGAAGAAAACGAAGCCCGCCGGAGCTACCAAGTGGTGCTCCAAGCACAACACCACGTCTCACTCGGACGAGGAATGCTACCAGCAAGGAGGAAAGCGCCCGGAAGACACCAAGGACTCAAGTAAAGCATTCACCGCGTGCTCCAACTGCACTCACTGCTCGTCGGCGTCCAACAAGCACGACTCAAACAATGAAGTGGCAGTTGTCGACTTCACCCGGGACGAGGACGCCTTTGACAGCGGCTTCATGTTCGGCACGTGTTCCCGCATCTCAGGACGCAACTTCGCCGCGAGCTCCACCGGGGTAGGCCTGCTGGTAAACACGGGAGCATCGGAGACCATGTTTGACAATCGCCTCATCCCCGACGGAAACCTCCACGATTACACCCAGCGAAACTCTCCAAAGATCGTGGACGTGGCCGGANGAAAACGAAGTCCGCCGCGAGCTCCACCGGGGTAGGCCTGCTGGTAAACACGGGAGCATCGGAGACCATGTTGGACAATCGCCTCATCCCCGACGGAAACCTCCACGATTACACCCAGCGAAACTCTCCAAAGATCGTGGGCGTGGCCGGAGGAAGACAACTCAAAGGCACGGCCACGGGCATCCTACACTGCACCGTCAAGGACAATCGAGGACAGCAATTGCGCGTGCGGATTCAGGGATTCATCGTTCCGGGACTTGGTCGCAACATTTTTTCGCCCACCTCCCTCCTGAAAAAGGGATTGCGCTGCGTCGTCGAAGAGAGCACTCCGCACCTTACTTTCCAAGGCAAGGTGATTCCACTCACACAAGATCCGCGAGACCAAGGCATGTGCACCCTCGACATCACGTTCGAGCAGAACGTCCAGCCATCTGGCACGAAATCCCTCGTGCCCCACCAGAAGCAGTCACAGACCCACACGGCGAACGCCGTCTGCTTTACGCTAGTGAGCGCGGACACCTGGCACAGGAGGCTTGGACATCTCAATGCTCGGAGCCTGGACATCCTTCGGAAGGACACGGGTACCGGGGTGGACTATCGCGACAGTCTCTCCCCTTGCGGGGTCTGCCAGATCGCGAAACACAAGCAGTCCCCCCACCCGAAGCAATCGACTCGCGAACTATCACGGCCTGGGCAGCTTGTGGTCATCGGCAACATGGGGCCTGTGAATCCACCTGCGAAATATAAAGGAGGCTCCTTCCCGTACGTGCGCAAGATCACCGACGACTACACGAAGATGAAAAAAGTGTACCTGCTTCGCAAGAAATCTGACACCACCGAGGCGGTGCACACGTACAACATGTGCGTCGTAGCGGCAGGAGGCTACCGGATCGAGACTATCCGCTGCGACAAGGGAGGCGAGAACACCGGATGGATCCGAATTTCGGGACTACTGCAAGAATTCAGCTATATCAAGCTCGAATTCGCCGCCACCAACACCCCTCAACAAGTTGGTGTATCGGAACGGGACGGACAAACCCTGGCCGGAGTCATCCGGTGTCTTCTGAAGGATGGATATTTTCCGCCGTCCATGTGTGGGGAGTTAATGCTGCCTGCAGCATACCTGTTGAACAGGTCCCCACACTCAGCACTGGGAGGAGCTNTAGCGGCAGGAGGCTACCGGATCGAGACTATCCGCTGCGACAAGGGAGGCGAGAACACCGGATGGATCCGAATTTCGGGACTACTGCAAGAATTCAGCTATATCAAGCTCGAATTCGCCGCCACCAACACCCCTCAACAAGTTGGTGTATCGGAACGGGACGGACAAACCCTGGCCGGAGTCATCCGGTGTCTTCTGAAGGATGGATATTTTCCGCCGTCCATGTGTGGGGAGTTAATGCTGCCTGCAGCATACCTGTTGAACAGGTCCCCACACTCAGCACTGGGAGGAGCTACGCCATACTCGAAGTTGCACAATAAGTCACCTGATCTCTCGGGACTTCGGGTTATTAGAGCGCGCGCCTTCGTACACCACGAGAAATACCGAAAGAAGCTGGACGACAGAGCTTTCGAAGCCAAGCTATGTGGTTTCGGCCTCGACAGCCAGACCTACCGGGTATTGAATCCATCCAACGGGGCCGTGGTCGAGAGCCGGAATGTGACTTTCATCGAATCTCCACCCCGCTCAGTGCCCTTCCAGTATTCCACTGAAGCAAACGGGTACGAGAGCGACGTGCTGAGCTTCACCTCCCTGCTGGACAGCCCCCACTCGACGAGCGACCTGGACTTCACGGCGCAGAACGAACTCCTTCGGCAAGAAGTCCGGAAGATGCAGCAAGACAATCTCTCTCGGGAGAAGCTTCTCCTAGAACTGGACGGGCACGAGGACGAACATGGAAACGGGCAAGATCTCGGCGACGGGGACGCTCCATCGCCACATCTCCCATCGACGCCAGCTGGATCGTCATCCGAGACCCACACATCTAGCCCCAGTCCATCATCGTCGAACCCGACTGAACCGGACACTTCTGCATCAACTGGATCCTCCGGCATGCGGCGCCTGCAAGTCACCAGAGCCAGCACGCGCGG